CACGGGTTTTGTTTGAGAAAGAACTGTATTTCAATTGAAAATTCCTACAAATTAAAAAATAAACATTAGTGGCAAACAATATCACTCTGAAATGGAGGTGCTATTGTATTGGTCAATACTGTACAACATATCTGTGAAGTTTCAAGAGTTTAACACGCAATTAAAAAAAGATAGCATGCAGAATATGGCAGCCATTTCGTAATTCTTGAAATTTTACGATTCTTTTTAATTTCATTCATTATATATACTTCAAAATATACATAACATGCACTGCTAAAAAATGGTAAGGTTTTTTTTTACAAACAAAACCGGTATATGTAATTTATTTAAATTATTGCAAAACCCACCACTTAGCAATTGATAACCTTGGGGTTTTGATGAATAATTATTTGAAGTCCTTTCGTGATTCGAACAATTTGTATCATTTCCGACTGTAAAGTTTAGCAAAAGGATCCCCGTGACATGCTGTGTCTGAAATCGCAAGTGAAGATTAACTAACAAAATGAACAAAACGCTCAGTATTTCGAGTATGGCTAACGCTCATATCTTTTTTCGGAAAAAACAGTATATTACTCAGGGTTGGGCATTTTTGCACTACCACTGAATTGCACTATCACTGTTTATTCACTGATAGTTAAAATGCAGAATTCATTATCACTGAAAATTTAGTGATAGTGAAAAACAAATTGCATTATCACTAAAACTTTAGTGATAGTTAGAAAAAACTCACAGAAGAGGCCTTCCCCTTCCACTGTTACCAGCATCGCGACCCGCGTTGAATACTTTCAGAGCTAGAGCGTTTCTGTCCATTCGAACGACATGACCTAGCCAGCGGAGCCGCTGAATTTTAATTCGCTGCACTATGTCTATATCGTTGTAAAGCTCATACAGCTCATCGTTAAATCGTCTCGGGTATTCGCCATTGCTAACGCGTAAAGGTCCGTAAATCTTGCGCAGAAACTTTCTCTCGAAAACTCCAAGAGGTGCTTCATCAGATGCTATCTTTGTCCATGCCTCCGCGCCATACACCATATTTAAAAACTTTTTTTTACTGTGAATTTAATATATTATCTACATATATAAAATAATAGCCGTTTCCATGATTGCACCTAACTCAAAAACTACTGGATAGATTTCAGTCAAATTTTCAGAGATTGTACCTTGCATATAAATATGGTCCTATTATAGGGTAGTTTAGTATAAACGAAAAAATAGTATCAAAAATTACACTCTAAGGAAGTAAGGTTAAATCTATAACATGTACATATATTATCTTTTTACATTTTGCTAACTCAGGTGTACAAAATTATGGAATAAATGTAATAGGCCGAAATCTGTGGAAATAATAAAAACAGTTATACCTTCGAATCTGGTTAAGCCTTGCGTTACAAGATGGAACTCATTGTACAATTCGGTTCAGAAGTTAATAGAAGTCAAAAACAGATTAGGTGAACTATGCTATAAGCTGGAAATTTCTACTTTCAATGAGGAAGAAGTTGAGTATTTGGAAGAATATGCAAAGGAAATGCAACCTATCGCAGAAGGAAGTCGATAGTCCTTCAAAGAGAACAAAATATGTTCTTTGGTTACTTTATTCCAACTTTACTGTCCATCAAAATAAAAATGCGACGTTTAGCATCCGAAAACTTGAAATATTTGACGGAACTAATATTCAAATGCAATCAAAGCTAATGCAAAGGTTTGAAATATATTTTAGTTTAGTCACTCTGACTCTTGGGATGCAGTTATTGCAGCAATTCTCATTCCCGATATCAAACTAAAATTTTGCAAAACTTTGCTGGAAAGTGCTGATTCATACAGTCTAGAAGAAGTTCGGGATAAATCTAAAGAATATGCGATGGAGTTTAAAAGACAACCGGTATGGGAAGATAATAATTTACAGCCTTCGATAAGTGCTAATACATTATTTCTCGAATTCGATGAGGAGTTTATAGGTATTTGATTAAAAGAAACCAACGTGCAAAAGTTTTGTAAATAATTTGCTTTTTTAGATGAAAATCGGTATACATGTTGCCATGGCGGAGCTATAGCAACTGAAGTAGTTTTGTACCTGAATGACGAGGATAGGAGCATTGAAGCTTTGCATCGCTTTCTTACTATAAAAAAAATGTTTTTAAAATATAATACACCTCTTCCTTCATCTGCGCCAGGTGAAAGGCTTTTTTCCTTTGCTGGGATTGTCAATCGATCGACAAGGCAAAATCTTTCTGACCATAACTTTGAAATGTTAGTACTAAAAAGGCAAATAAAAAATGAATTATGTTTTTATATTTTTGAAGCGACGTACTATAATTAGAAGTCTCTTCTCAAGAATATTGTTTATATGAATATATTTCTTTTCACTGCTTCAGCTAATATAGTCTTACTTTATTCTTCAAGAAGAACTATGTCATAACAATAAAGCTTGTTTACAGCCAAAAGCAATGTTATTTTACTGAAAAATTTTAATTATCAATAAAGGTTTTCACTATCACTAAATATTAAGTGGTAGTGCAAATTGTTTTTCACTGTCACTAAGGGTTTAGTGATAGTGCAATTTGTTTTTAACTATCACTAAATGTTCAGTGATAGTGCATTTTTTTCACTATCACTAAAATTTTCAGTGATAATGGATTCTGCATTTTAACTATCACTGAATAGACAGTGGTAGTGAAAAGCGTATTGCATTCATTTTTTAGTGCATTGTGCCCAACCCTGATATTACTGCGCGAAAAATCCTGTTTCTCCATTTAAAAATAAAAGCATTTTTTACAGTACATTACAGAAACAGTTTTCCAATAAAATAAAGGAATTCCTAGTGTGGTACACATAATACTAGGTATTCCTTTATTGTACACCCCGAGACAAAATGGTATGTCTAACAAACATGTAAATCCAAATTTCTCTCTTTGTACAAAAATTAGAATTCGGAAAAGTGGCATATTCCAGTTTGAGTGTCTACAAAATATCGTTGAATTTTTATTTATTTTTTGCTGACGGCGTCACGTATTTTCTTCAGTACAAAGTTACTATTTTCGATAATTTGTTTCTTCAATCAACGCGAATTCTTAGTCCATTGAAACTTGCAATTGCCCAATGAAACTTGTTTGATGGCAACTCCGCGAGTTGTAATTTCGCCTGCAAAAAAAAAAATCTAAAATCAATGCGAATTTTAAGATAATTGAGTTATAAAACTGTATACACTTTTTTTTTAGTTCTGATTAAAAAATTAATGCTTTGGTGCAATTTTGTTAAAGTCTGTACTTTTTTTCTAATTTTCGTACAAAGATTTCAGTTTGGATTTATATGGTTGTTTTTATAGAACGAGCTACAGGTATACTTGTACATATGAAGTTAAGCTCCAACCGACCGAAAATGGGGTAATGGTTTAAACATTAAAAAAATTCAAAAATCAATGCGAACATTTAAGATAATTGAGCTATAGTTCTGATTAAAAAAATTAATGCTTTGATGCAATTTTGTTCAAATCTGTAGATTATTTTTTAATTTTCGTACAAAGATTTAAATTTGGATTTATATGGTTGTTTTTATAGAACGAGCTATACTTTTATAAAAAATTAATGAACATTAAACCAATAAAAGAAAAATTGTCAAATGCCGCACTCCTATTATTTTGACCACCCGTGTACTTGTACATATGCAGTTAAGGCCTAGTGTAAGCTCCAACCGACCCTAAATGGGGGTTTCAACATTAAGCCAAGATTTTGGGTGTCAGTTAAAAATCCTGAGTATGCTGTGTTTGTCTACTCGACTAGGCTCACGACTTGTCCAAACCTTAAACAAGTTTATTAACATTTTTTTAAGTTCCAACCAAGTGACAACTTACAAATTTTTCCTAGAAATGTTTATTAAAAATTTTGCAATCTCGATGAAACTTTGCCGGATTTTCATAATTTTTATTCAAAGTTTGAAACTTGGATTTGTATATTAAAAAAATAAACATTAAAAAAGACAAACAAAAAATAGCCAAAACTTACTAAAATGTCGCGTCCCTATTTATTTTGCCACCACTATACATGTGGATATTTGAATTTGATCTCAGTAACAAAGCGTTTTATTTCTATATTATAGATTTGTCATATTTTTGCAATATTTGTATCCTTAAGCATACAAAAATTTAATCATTTGAACCGAACTCATGAACCGGTTCTTGTAACGTTACAAGCTTTATCTGAGAGGTTCGAACCACTGAACCGAAGCACACCAATTTTTGGAGTTGTTTGCAGCCCTGTTGTTGTTGTTGTAGCGGCTACAACAACCCCGCCCAGGACGGTTGGTATCTCAGTCGTTGTCGTCAAGTTCCACTAACGGCAACCCTAGGAAGCGTGCAGCTTCTGTGGGGTTTGTCCACAGGGACAAGGCCGTTAGGGTTGTCGGGTTTTCCGGGCATGCGAAGAGATGTTTCGAGTCATGTGGGGTCTCTCCGCATGCCGGACACTCATTCGGCACATCCTCATTCAACCTACTCAAGTAGGAGTTCAACCTGCTGCAGTAGCAGCCCTGTTCTAGCGTCTTGAAATTTGCATTTTAACCTACTAAAATTAAATGAGCTACAAAACTCCATACCTAAAATTTTTCTGAAAATTCTGAATGAAAAGTTGAAAATTTTCGGGTGCAAATGTTATGGCGTTTTCGTTTCTACAAAAAATGTTGCCTGCTTATCACCCTCTTCTTAGTGTTTGTGCGTAGAGGGCAACGAGAAGGTTGCATTTTTCGATGGAAACGAAATCGGCATTAAAGTTTGTTGAATTTTCATAATTTTTGTACCAAGTTTGAAATATGGTTTTATGTGGCGCTGGTTAGGTAAAGTGCTAGACTTTTATAAAAAAATTATGAACATTAAATGAACAAAAGAAAAATAGCTAGTCAAAATGTCACTAAACTTAATCAGCTAACTACAAGTGTATATATATTTAGATATAGTACGTAGAACTTATTTATCTCACTTCTTTACCCTTAAACTTAATTTTATTCGATAGTCCACCTTTGGAGTTGATAAACACGATGCCAAAATGGAGGTTTTCGACACCACCACTAAAAGTGATAGTTTCAACATTTCAGAAGATACATTCCAAGAAAAAGAAATTGGTGTTCAAGAAAATGCCAATGTCCAGGAGGAAGACGAAAACTTCGAAACGGTTGCAGATGAGAAGAAATTCATTATTGAGTTTATTGAATTGTATCAGTCCTTACCGGCACTATGGGACGTAAAAAGCAAAGATTACAAAGATCGAGAATTGAAAGACATTCAATACCAAATTTTGCTTGCAAAATATAAAGAAAGATATCCCGATGCCGACAGACACGAGATGCGGAAAAAGATTAATACCCTCCGTTCCAGTTTTCGTCGACAGGCAAAACGACCATATCCACCAAATCTGTATTACTTTAATTCATTGAGTTTCCTCCTTAATATTGACGAGTCACTACAGAATGATTTTGAAGATAATACGCAGGTGAGTGCAAGAAAATAAAATGCTTAAAACTGAGATTTTTCCTTTAGACTATAGCTCTAAAATAAATTTCGAGCCTGCGCAATTTGAAAAGAAGATATCTTTTATTAACACTAAGTTAATATGCAGATTAATATTTACTGAAGTGTTACGATTATTTTTTTATATAAAAACTTGTGCTTGGGAATTGTTTGGGAATAGTATGGGACCACCTTCTCGAAAATCAATGACAATTTTTAGTGACTTGAAACTTTTTGCATTTCCACGAGTTCTGTATGAAATTAAAAATAATTTATTTTTGTGGTGGAACATTAACATGTTCTCAGTTTTTTAAAATAAATATGAAAAAAAATCAAATAAAGAACTTTTTAATCGGCGTGTTTTTCTTTACATGCATATGTACGTATCTGAGCTTAAAAGTTGTATGGAGCTCTAAGCGACAAACTTTATGTGCGTTTATGAATAGTTGTCGATAAAATCAAAATGACTTGTTTTGAAATGGAAATTGTCTATGATTGTTTTTTTTACACGTTAAGCGTAGGTGTATGTACTATATGCGTGTAAAAAAAACACAGTTAGTTTAATGACTTTTGCTAAGATTTTGAAATCAAAACTTATCGGGACAAATTCTATGGGTTTACGAAAGATTATTTTCTACTTGTTAGTCCATTTATAGAAACTTGGTATATTAAAAAGTTTTGAAATTTTTTCCACCTTTTAGTCTTGTTTGTATAAAATTTTGCATTGTATACTACGTTTACGCGTTTGTTCATTTCACTAACTCATTTCATAAAACGTACTTAAAAGCTGCACTTGTAATCAGCTAATTAAGCAACATTTTGATCGATTTGGAATATTTTTCTTTTGTTTATTTAACATCTAGCTCATTATATAACAAGCACCATATATAGCATTGACACATTAAGTTCAACTTTTGCCAAATAAAATGTATCTTTTGGCAAATAAATTTAATCTTTTGGCAAAAAAATTTAATCTTTTGGCAAACTTATTTAATCTTTTGACAAATAAAATTAATCTTTTGGCAAATAAATTTAATCTTTTGGCAAATAAATTTAACCTTGTGGCAAATAAAATTAATCTTTTGGCAAATAAATTTAATCTTTTGGCAAATAAAATTAAACTCTACTATAGTGTTTGAAAAAGTAAAAAATACACTAAAAAACTGCTGTCGCTGTGCTTGGAAAGCATTTTTTTTTTTAGCTTTTGACGCTTAGCTTTACTGCGCCAATATCAAGAGTTAACCTCCAGGATAGCTGAAAAGTGTTTTTTTGGTTTTTCTGTTCTGTTGATTTGACCAAGGCATAACAAGGTAGAAGTGATTTCGACATTTCTCTCTTTTGAACTGCGACTGAAATGTCAAATCTTAACCCTATAGTATTCAAAAAATTTTTTTTTTATATAAATTTTCAATTGTGAGCTGTGCGACTGATTTTAAATACATAATAAAATGAAAAGGAATTGCGAGCGGTGCGTTGTGTTAGTCAAGAGCCTGGACAAAAAACTTGTGCGTTATTTTAAACATTCGATTTGTCAAGTGAAGCGGCAACGGTGGGCAAATTGCTGCGATGTTTCATTAGAAGACTCTTCACGTGTGGTCGTGACTTTATTTGTAGCCCATCGCAGCCGAGTATTTCTAAGTGGACGCGTTTGGTCCCAGGTGCAGGATTTATCATACCGAATATGAATAGAAAATCTCCCTTTCATGTACATACATGGATAGGCCAAATTTCAAATGGTAGTCTGATAAAACCTAAACCAGTATTCCTTGTTGACATAAAGAAACTGAAAGTAATTTTTAATACATTTAATGGAAAGGAAATTTCGAATAGCAAAAATTTAATAGCTAAATTATTGAAGTTAAGTTCTGATGTAAATTTAGAAGAATCAAACTTTTTTAATGACTAATATACTTTAGAATTAAGTATTTCAATAAAAAAATAAATGCTCAAAAACATTGGGATAGTAAAAGCAAGAAAATTGTCAAAACGGTTTTATAAATGAGTGTGTTTGATTTAGTGTGTAATTTTGTGTAAGTATGCATTCCCATATTTACATTAAATCGAAAATTCAATAAATAAAATGAAGCTGATTCTAATGAGATTTTAAATATTTTCATATTTACAAAAACTTTCATTTCAAAGATGTTGAGTTTTATCAAATATGGTAAATGCATAACAAAGGGTTAATTTCTTTGTTTACATTTTTTGACATTACAGTCAGGTATGAGAGAGCTCGACTGAATTGTCACTTCTACCCTGTTGAATATGCCTTGGATTTGACTGCTCACTTTCAAACAGTTCTGTCAGAGCATGGTCTCAAATATTCGTCAAACTTTTTGGCGCATTTTATTTCAACCAAACCACGCATTATGGGCAAATGGGATAACAAAAACATCTAAAATGCTACAAATCTTGAACTCCCTTAATATATTTTCAAACCCAGGTACAAGAAAAATTTATGTACATACGCAAATATGTACATTAGGGTGCTCATCAAAAACGTTTTTTTTTTTTTGAAATTTCAAGACGACCCAAATTTTATTCGTTTTTATGAGAAATATTATTGCCTATTTGTATAGATATTTTAAAGGTCATTTAGAGGTCGCGATTTAGGTTAAAAAATACGGTTTTACGGTAGGTCAAAAAATACGGTTTTGTAGATTTATGAGTTTTTGAATGACTATTTTTGACTCGATTTCAAGGATCGAAGACATTTCTTAAATACGGCCTTGAATTTATATTGTTTATGTACCGGACTTTCAGATTTTTTGAGCAGTGTGGCGAAGTAATTCATCAATATTTATTCAAAATTGATATACATATACAATCGTTCTTTAGCAAAAAAGTGTTTTTTTTAGGAATTTTTGAGGAAAATGGGGCTGGCACCGCCCACTTATATGACATATGCGTATCTCATAAAGGTTGGTTATGAGTTCGTTCTCAGTTCGATATGCATACTGGATATCGAAAGGCATTTTCGAAGGTTCGCCACAATGTTTATTGGGAAGTTAATAAAAATTGTTTTCTGTATTTGCCAGAGTGTAAAATTGCACTGCTTCTCAATGCAATGCAGTATTTCTTCAATTTGGTCGTTTCCTAGCTTGATGGTTTTTTACTTCCAATAGGATTTTTAGTAGTTCTGAAATTGGAAATTTCTGAATTTGAAATACAAAATTTTCTGAATTAGAATTTTTTTCTGAATTTAAAATGGAAATTCTGAATTGGAATTGCAACTTTCTGAATTCATACTGGAAATTCTGCATTTGAATTTTAATTTTCTGAATTTGAAATGGAAATTCTGAAATTGACCTGTAATTTTCTGAATTTGAAATGGAAAAATGCAAATTCTTAATATTAAATGGAACTTCTGAACTTGAGTTGTAACTATCTGAATTTGAAATGGAATTTTTGAGTATGAATTGCAGCTTTCTGAACTAAAACTGAAAAAGGTGTAGATGCAAACATTGGCAAACTTGTGAAAATAATAAAAAATTATCATAATCGGCATGAATCCATATGGCTTTGTGAGTGTTGATTTTGACCGCGGTTAACCGTCGACCGCTTTTCGGTCGGTTACGGGCATTATAACTTAAAATGTATGTGGTAATTATTGTAGTGGATCTATTTCGGACGACAATTTTTGCTTTGCACATTTTAGCACTTTCTCGATTATCTAAGCTCTCTGCTTAATGGACCGTAACAGACAGGCGAATATTGAACACGCCATCCACAGCTTGTACATGCCAAAGGTCAAAATCAAAGTTCACGTGGTGTGTCTAGTTGAACAATATGTTAGCCTTTGACGGAATTTCTCCTCCGATGCATACATCGGACATTGTTGTCACGCAAAGGTAAGGGACCTGTAGTTTTACGCGATTCCGAACGGCGATTGTATTTTTAAGAGAAGCTGTGTTTTTTGTAAATCAAACTTTTATTATAGTAAATACTTTTACTGTACTTCAAAGTGGAAATTCTAAGTGAAGCCAAGTCCTTCTCCAATTGGCGGACTCCCTCTTCCTCTGCTACTACCAACGGGTTCCAAGCCATTGAAGCTCATCGGTACATCGTCGATGGTACTCGCCGTCGCCAATGCGCAAAGGTCTGCAAATCTTCAGCAAAATCTTTCTCTCGAATACCCCAAGAGCCGCCTCATCTGATGTTCTCATTGTCAATGCTACTGCGCCATATTCGTACGTCGAGAGAGGACTTCTGAATTGCCTACTCCCTCCAAAGTAGCACTTGTTGGCAAGAGTGATTTTGCGTTTGATTTTGATGCTAACATTATTATCGGTGTTAATTCTGGTTCCAAAGCAAAATATATTCTCTACCTTATCGAAATTATAAATGTCAACTGGCGAGTGCCAAGGCGCTGACTGTTTGTTTGATGACAGGATATACTTCGTCTTGTCCCCGTTTACCTCCGGTTTCGCCCTGTTTAGATCGGCGAAATCTCTTAAACATTGTTCGCTCATGGGACAGTATCTGCTCCGCACGCTTCTGCTCAGGGCTGGCATCGAGTCAAACCCTGGGTCAGAAACCTATACCGCTGCGCGCCCCACAGACTATTACACCATAACTCCACCTCAGTCAGGTGTAACTCCTACAACGGTGGATCCTGTCCAGGTCTCAGGACTCTCCGGCAATGAACCACGCCATTCGTGGCCGCATACTGCTCAAACCGAGCTGACTCCACGGCACACCAGAGTTCGCATGATCAACTCAACACAAATGCGACCACACCCAAACAAAACACAACAACGCTTGACCACACTACAGACAACACACACCCCACCAGAGCGCCGCCGCCAACAACTCTTAGTTCCTCGAACAATACAAGCAGCTCTCGCCGTGGTTGGTGTCACTTTAGGGCATGTTCAGGACTGCGCACCACGCGAGATTGGACGAGGAACTATATGGGCCCGTGTTTTGCTGCTCGGTCGCAAATCGCTACTGCAACGCCGCCCACCGCCACCATAGGGCAAG